GAATAGAGGAAAAAAATAACTCCTGGCGATCACCTGGGATCTACGACGATGTCTCGTGGATTATGAACGTTACCATACACAACGGTTGTTCTCATCGATCCATCAATTCTGGCCACCTGAGAAAGCCTCATATAACTTCGCAAATGTGATAGTAGGCGATAAAGTAAAGAAAGAGAGAAATAGGGGAAAAAAACGTTGGTTGACGTCACTTGAAGCTACTACGGTTGCACCTGTATGTGGTCGTGATGGCTGTCCGTCCAGTAGATCAATTCATTCATCCAGTCAACGGCGATTCCTTCAACAGTCGACAAACCGGTGGAGATGATGGCACGAGGATTTGAGGCCGCTGAAATAAAACAGGTAAACGGAAGTCGGAAAAAAAAACAGTCAGCAGTAGATTAATACTTTCTTAAATTAAACATAGACGATTTTCATAGACGAGAAACCACCTGCTTTCCAGAATTACCAAGGACTTCGGAAGAACTCAGCTCACCGAAAACAATAATTGAATGATTTTCTACTAACTGAAGCTTCAAATTCAGCAATGTTATTGCTTGACGATTTATCACCTTTTCTCTTCACTTAAGGCGCGTGTGGCGCAGTGGTCGGAGGTGCCCTGCAACACACACGTGGAATCGGCCTCCGCGCTCATGGTCCACCAAGCCTTCGATCCCTCCGGGATCGGCAAATTGGTGCCAGACTTGTCTGGGAGGATAGCAGCATTGACTCGATACACCAGAATGCCACCACAAGTCATTGTAGAGGCCAGATATGCAGCCAGTCACCTCCAAATGATGCTTAATCAAGTCGAATGCATGGTGCATCCCTCAGGGATTGATCAACGCCGAGAGCTTTGTTGTTTATCCTTTAACACTCCATTTAGTCTTAGGGACCGACGCGAGTTGATTTCCGCTTACACGGTACGAAAATAGCGATCGCTTTCAACCTGCTTCAAACCAACATGTCTTAATTTAAAGTGGATTCTATTGATTACAGAAAGTGTTAGAATCTTAGAATCTAAAATCTTCAATGTGTCTATTTTACCACGATGAAATTCTGATTTCCTGGAACACGTCAAACATATTGCGCGCACATTTTTACGTCGACGTCATATTTTGAAAATGAAACCAATTGCGAACTTTGTCTGATATTTTGAAAATTCAGACTTCCTTCGAAAATTTTAATTCTAGACAACGCTAAAAATCACATAACTCCAGGTTTCGAAAAGTTGTCTGCAGTTCACGAGGAATTATTCTAGGCCCCTAAGTGTTAAGAACTGAGTGCTCGTTGAGCTTGGTAATGCTTGGAAACCTGGAATATCCAAAGTAAGCGTTACCAGGTCTTCTGCAGAAGCAGCGGCTTAGCTACTACGTGGATCATAGTGGAGTTCTCCGCTTTTTAAGACTATGTTTTCTTTATATCAATATGATAGTGAGCCCTGGTATTGACTCACCTGTAGCTGTACCTCCGAGTGAAACAGTACCTGATGATTCTGCATAGGATTAACGCTCGCTGAAGATTGCCATTCGGTCTCCGGAAGCACTATTATTGCCCTGGTCACATAACTCCAGGTTTCAAAAAGTTGTCCTGGTGAGGAGGTAAATGGCCAGCAACTTAAGTAGTCATACCAGTGTGTAAGAACAAAAGGATAAAGCGTTCGGCGTTCTTGATGAATCTCTTAGAAAGGTGTCATGCATTCGACCCCACTGGTGGCATCATAAAGGTGACCAACTATGTATTTGGCCTATACTGTGACTTGTGAGCTTCTACCGATATAACAAATCGGTTTTTTCTCGCACAAGTCTAGCACCAATTTGTGGACCCCGGAGGAATGAAGTGGTCGGTGATCCCAAAGTACGAGCGGTCGAATCAATGACCACGTGTGTATTTGCAGTTCACTTTTAACCATTACGCTACAAACGCTTCAGGGCAAATAAATATAGAAGTTAAAATATGGAAGATGATCGTCTATGCTTATTGGCCGCAGAAAGCGCTGCGAAGTAATACAAACTTACTTTTGTCGTTCACTTCTATCCGAAAAATGGTGTCCAGTGTGACGTCGGCCCAGAATATAGTAATCGAGCCATTGACATGATATAAGTAGTCGAACGGTACAGCATTTTCAAGCTGAGGCAGTAGCGGCACGGCGTTAAAGGAATTTGATGCCAAGTACATCAAGGTGTGCCTGTCACTGTATAGAAGAAAAGGCCTTCGGCTGTCGATAGCACGACAGGTGAACCTGAATCGTTTGCGATATAAACGACATCATAGAACATGAATAATAAAAAATGAGTTAAAAACAGAATACTAAGTGACAGAAAATGATGCCTATGAAGGAAAAAGTCAGTGAAGAAGAGAAGGGGCGGAAAACAAGACAAATATCATCAAAACCCTGCTATCAACCTGGACTTGGTAAAAAAAAAAATAATGAAAAGTGGGGAAAAAACTTCGATGTGTCAAGCTCTTTGAAGAGATATAAACAGCGATAAGGAGGATGGAAAAATCAGTAAAAGCCAGTGGCCGATTGCAGAGTGGAGCAATGGTGACACTAGCGACCGCGGACTCGAGCGGAGATCGGTTAAATATGAGCGGGCACCGCGAAACAGACCATCGACAAACAATCATAAAGCGCAACAAATCATCAGTTGAGCAATCAGATCCCAATTAATGCCTATGTACAGATGCATAAGAAACGAATATGTGGAAAAAATCTGGGAAATGTCTGGGAAAAGAATAACCTCAACTAACCCGTCAGGCATCATTTGAAATCCCGGTTCGCAGTAACAATGAGATGTCCGATTTGAATGAATAAGACAATGCTGCGAACAAGAGCCAAAGTCACAGGGCTGCCGTTGGCTGACTGAAAAACAACTCTATTCATGGCAACCAAAAAAAAGCGAAATTTTTGATGACGTATTGACTAATATATGCAATGTATGCAAACCCTGCTAAATACTTTGAAACACCAATAGCATCACTAAAAATTATCGGTTACGAACTGGTTTTGAAGGGTTCACTTCCTAGAAAAACTGTTCTTTGCAGCGTATTCCTTCTAAAACTATGTGGAAATTTCAGTAGATTCGGGCAAGACGCTTAAAAGCTTCAGATTATCATTGTGGGACACTCCACGCGCAAACAACACGGCTCTGACGAAGGCGAAATCGCCGGAACGTCATCCATCGACCAACCACAACAACAACAACAACGACAACTATACCAACTTCGCATCAGGTCAACAAGATCAGTTCATAAAAACAAATAAATGAATATATCAATTATTTATGCCGAGGTTTATAGAAAGTCGTTCTTTTGGATCATAAAGACTATAATCAATTTATAAGGACACCTAGCCTATCGCCAGTGGCGCGTGCAGCAAACTGGCTTGAGCTGTCCTCCAATTCACCGATGGGGTCGTTGCTTCAATCCCACATACCGGATTCACTGAGCCTTCTATCCTTCCACGGTCAGCAAATCAGTACCACACTTGTCTGGGAGCGTAAAAACGTTGGCTTAATTCACCGGTGCGTCGCCGCAGTACACAGTATAGGTCAGACACGCAACTCTACACCTCATCACTCAGTCAGCTTTATGATACTTGATAAAGTGGAATGCACGACAGATCACTTAGGCATAGATCAAAGCCAGACGCTCTAGCTTTTTTTTTGCCAAAATTTGAATACAAAAAAGCAATGTTAAACTACTAAAATCGAAATAAGAAACCTAAACAGAGATACGATCAGTGAGTAGAAGCAACAGCAACAGTACCTTCACAAGTACGTCCATCACTCGACAGCGTCCGATTCACAGCACAACCACATACAGTTGTATAGGAATCAATATGTGGTTGGACATAGCACACATCACCACATTTCATTTCCATGCAAGATCTACAACATTTGAATCACAGTATTATGTGAACTTAAAAAATCTGTATGGTAAAAATTGGAAAAAAAAAGGAGCTAAGAATGTAATGTTATTACGACAACTAACCACGACCAACTAACTAGCTTGAAATTCTGACCCAAAAGAAAGATGATAACAAAAGTTCAACCCTAGCACAGAAATATAAAATCATTTTTAGCTTGATCAGCAAGAAGTAGGAAAGTACTGGCCGTCGTCGTTAGCAATAAGCACTTCGTAAACACATTGTAAAAGCTTGCGTTCACTATAGTTTCATTGCTATAACTTTATTGTAGAACATTTCTGTCTTTCCTCTGACTCGTTTAAATGAGGACTATTCTGCTCACTTTCACTTGTATTCGAGCAATGAATTCTAAGCAAAAATAAAAAAAATAAAAGTGCGGTAATGTCCACAAAGGGGATTAATCCTCCCAGCACGACCTACCAAGCCGAGAAAGAATCCGGTGTTTCCATCAGGAAGCTCAGCTAGGAGTAAATTAATACCAGGATCCACCACCGTCCTGGTATCAAAATAGTCACGTGGTGGCAAATCTCCCTCTGATCCACAAAGGTGGCAACTGCCTGTCGTGGAGGACGACCTGGGGCAGACTTTAGCCAGCCTGACCTCGGGACTCTAGAGAATCATAATGGCTTAACCAGCAAATCTCCGAAAATGGAGATTATGCTAAGGCCCACACAACTAATGAAGACGGGTCATCTAAGTATCCAATTAAGTAATGTTCGCAAAATTAGGTAAGCCCAAAGTATAAAATTGACGAGTAGAAGTCCCACATTATCGACAGTTTGCTAAAATAAAATTTGAAAAATCTTTCAAGTTCTTCACTGTTTGAATCGTTGAAAAAAAAAAGCAGGTCTTGATGTCAAGAACTAACTGTTGTTGTTCATAGCCACAAAACTCTTCGTCTTTCGCATCAAAGCAATCAGGTGTTCCGTCACAAATCTGAACGATGAGAAGAAAATACACCACGACATTAACTGGGAAAACCAATTTTCGGATAAGATTTTCCTCTAATCTTTCAAAATAAAGTTGTTCAAGTGACATCGGATAAACAAAAATAAAATCAGACCAGCTAGGAGTGTCACAGCACGCTTGTTTTCGGCGAATGAAAATAACTGAGCTCTTGACTACTCGTCAAGGGAAGGTCTCCCTGTATAACTTCATCTAATGTACGCCTATTTTATATCTTATTAACTCGACGTCAACTCTTCTGAAGTCGCGAAAAGAGGAACACTTTTACCTATGAGAGCATTTGGCAACGTAAGGCTTGACCATGAACACAAGAATATAATTGTAAAATAAATGAAAACACCTTTGTGGCAGGAAGACAGACGATTCCAGTGAACGTACGGCATGTTATGTCTGGTGCTTTACACCTTGCTTCTACAACTTTTGTGTTGAATGCTATAATGGCAGTATAAAATTTAAGTGTTTCTAAAGATTGGACGAAAGAAAGACAAACACTAAAAAGTCAGATAAAGAGTATTTGATTCACAGCATATCAAGGAATGCGCTAGTGGGTTAGCAGGTTTTTCACACTCGCATTCTATGATTGGTCAATGCAGCAGCAAACAGTGACTACCCTCATGTCGCGATTGGTCGCCTGGTTACGCATTTAAGCAAAAGTAGTACACAAATTAACCATCTCAGCAAAATTTTCAACGAAAACCCAGCAGGTTTTATCTCAAACAGAGTGATAAAACTAGCAAAATCCTGCACATTCCCAAAATATATTATGTGAAAATCAAAGGGCTCGAGAAACCCCGGCTCTATCCTGAAATTAACCTTCGAAACGAAATCTTAATAAATGATAGAGTGAAACATAACCACAATGGTGCTGAGATATTCGCAAAACTTGGACCCCTGCCCAGATCGAACAACGATTACCTTTTCCTGAGACTCGCCCCATGGAGACCAGATGGTAACCGTGGTTCGATCCTAGTACGAGCTGCAGTATATGTAAATTTATTAATCGGTATTGAGGAATTTTCTTCACAATTTGCATATTTCGTTGTATAAAAACGTTCATAAAAATAAAAAGAAAACAAGCAAGAAAGGAAAATAACTGACAGCAATGCTCATGTTCGTCACTTCCATCCGAGCAGTCGGGCACACCATCGCATTCTAAATGACCCGGTACGCATTCCTCTCGATTCCGACAAGCGAACAAACCTCTTGCGCACTTCTTCCCTTCTGAGAATGCGGCCATGACTTTACTTCGCAATGAGTTGGAACAAAGACAGAGTGGATATTTAGTCTTCCAAAAAAAAAATCTTCGCTAACCAAAAGTGTATAGACAAATGACGACACTCACTACACTTCCTCTCATCCTGACCGTCAAGACAATCATCAATACCATCACATACTGCACTTCTTCTTATGCATCGTTGTTCACGTTTACAAAGATATTCGTTAAGTTTACGACAAAATCGTGTGGAGCCTGAAATTATTCATTCCTTTCTATGATTGTTCACGGTGATCGGGTTTCATGAAGGGGTTCTAAGGAAGATCTGTTTCAACCTTCTCGCTTACTTCCTTTAATGGCCAAGTCGTTGAGGCATCGTACTTTGCAAAAGAAGCAGAAGCAGATATTGATTAAGCACCATTGAAGATGCGAATATACCTTAGGTGAAATACAAACACAATAATACGCTGAGATATTGCAAAACTCCGGACCGCAAGTCTCTGCAGTGAGGAACGAACGCGCTACTGTCCTTTCCGGGGAGTTATGCGTTCACCACCACACCATGCGGGTGCTTCGTTTCGCCTGTCTCTCAGTTAGTTCTATCGATCACACCTTAAGTGAGTTTTCGCGCTATGAAAGTAGTCCACCACTGCCTTTGCGTCCACATCATCACCCCCACCCTCAATTAGCTTGTGAAAACAAACAATTTCTATAACTTCGGTCGATGATGGCTATGGATTAGCGAAAATTAGTGGAGAATTTCAGTTTCTTTTTATTTTCCAAAATTTCTTTCAACAATACTCGGTTTCAATCAAGAACGTTACCGTTATTTTGAACGATCACTTGAATCCAATGTATCGGCAAGGACCACACTTTTCCTTGTGTTGGTTATCCGCTAAGAATATGAATACGAAATGGTGCTAAATCCAGAAAATGTGAAACTGCTTCTGATACGACTACCTCCAATAGCTGACGACCCGTTGAAGCCGCACGGAAGCGAATTTTGTCGTCAAGGAGGTAAGCTAGGACTTGATTCCTCGCTTTCACTGCACAATATACATCTGCTGGCGAAGCCGATTTACCTACACTTTCTTATCAACCCGCTCGTTTTGCAGTAAGTTTTTAGCGAAATACATCCTACTGGCAGTATCATCACTATGAAAGAATGGTGTACGAATTCCTTTTAGATTAAAGTAATTGCTGTTTTCGAGGAAGTAGCTGCCAGGCCTTTAATTAAATACGATAGATCCCCAACTATATTTTACGTCTGTTCAGTTTGTTTCCCATTATTCTTCTTCACAAGGATTACCGAGGCGTACCAAGAACATCCACAACGGCAACAATAAAAGAAATTCGAAGCTGGAAAAAGTTTGAAGCTTCTTCGGTTTAATGTTGCCAGACTGCATTGCACTGTGAAGGCCCAGGTCGGTATTGCACAATTAGAAGATAAAAAACAGTAAAAGCAAAAAACAAAAGAAAAACTCCTTACTGATATTGAAACAGTCCCGTTCATCAAAACCATTTTCACAGTCAACGATCCCATCACATTTCAAGGAAATATGGAGACAGGCTGATGATGGATCGCATCGAAATTCCCGGCCGACTCGACAACCCTTGGAAAATGAAAATTTTTTTTCTGTAAATTTTGGAAGATTTACTCTCTACCATTTTCTTCGTATTTTCGTTTACTCTCTACCATTTTGTTTTTTGACTTTCGCGTTTCCGTTAGACAAGCTATTCTCTCATCCTGCCAACTGATATTGTCTTCCCATTCGCGGCTTGTGTAGAGATTTTCGATATTATTTTTTTTTGGGATTAACCCACTTTTAAAACTATGATTTACTACGTATGGCTAAGGTTACGAATCCCTGCGCTCAAAGTAGACGAATAGGTAGTTTCTTTAGAAGCTCATATCAAAAGCCTTCAAATCGATTTTCTTTTGAGAGATAAAAAGGTCGAGAGTTACCACAACAAATAAAACCAGTTACGAAAATAAGTAATATTTTGTCAAGAAGTTGAAATAAAGAAATAGAAAACGTTCACGCGAGTATAAAATGAAGACAACATGCATTTAAAAAAGTAGAATAAGAAGAAAAATATATCTTAGCAACGAAGTGTGACAGACTAAAACTATATTCGGACTTAACATCTCAATACTTCTTGTTATATTCAAGCGAGAAACCTTCGTGAGAGTTGATTTTCGACTCCACAACGTTTAAAACGCAAGCTCCCGCCCACCTCATGGCAGTGCAACTCGTCCGATCCATCACGGCAGTTCATTCGTCCGTCACACGCCCAATCCAGTGGAATACACTGACCGGTAAGGCATTGAAAATGTTCAGCATCACAGTCACGAGGCTCTAGAGGGAATTTAAGCAAAATTTACAATAAGAACTTTCTTCGACATTAATAGCAGATTTGCAAATACCTTTGCAGCATATCAACTATTTGCTTGATTTCATTGCTTAAGATTATATCGACACAACCTACCATCAAACGGTTATAAACAGCTGGTATCACAAATAAGTCTTGACAACGTAACTTTTGATAATGCTTAACTCAACTCGGAAGATTTCGAAATAAATGTAACATGCTCATTGTTTCTCCCAAACGAATAGGGCCCAATGGCTTTGCTATATGAGAAAGACGAAGGAGATTTTACTGGTACCCCCATGAATCACTTGAAAGTGAATGGGAGCGTAAATAATATCTTAGGAACGTGGAGCTTAGCAATGAACTACGAAATTATTGTACCAAATAGAACAATTCGTATGCACAAGAAATCTGTGCACAATGGTCGCTGGATCAAAATGACAAGTCTCTACCAAATTCTCAATACCTTTAATGCCAACGATAGAGACGTTGTATTCAAAAATTGCGACGAACAACACAGCTAAGTTTAACCTTAAGAAAACTGCAACGGAATCCATGAAATCCGTATTCTCTTGCATACTTCTACGAACCGTCATCCCAAATTGTACAGAATCGAACTGGGAATCCGCCATGAGAATAGATTTCTTTAAAACCGACTAAAATCTTGCTGTTGATTCAGCCATAGCTGGGTTTTCGAGTAAACGTGCCTAGCTCCTTCAAAACCTCGTTAACCTCAACAACTACTCTATTACGCACCTCAGAAGGACCTCCAGGCCTGAACTATCTCCAAGTGATCAAAGTCGGTCTGCTATATCGCCAATGATATACAAGGTATACGTATACAATACGCCAAGGTTAGTTGAAAATCACCAAAATTACTCTAACCAAAGGAATTTCTGTATTCTTTGAGAACCATGGAAAAGTCATACGACAAAAAAACACCACTTTAATCCACAATGGTCACTAACAGTCTGTGGTGAAGAAATCCAAATACACCAGCGCGATATACCTCAGGTTTCAGCAAATACCCGTCCACTCAATATTCACCTTTTCAAACAAAACCCTCAAACGATAGTCGAACACACAAAAAGAACCCGATCACCACTACTGATGATGGTTGTATATCGATGAAGTCAACGAAAAAATTATTGGGACCGCACAATATTTCAAGATGTGCCGCCTAGGTATCCAAGTAGTCAAGTCGGTAGAAAGCGACATACATCAAAAAATCACTACTTAAATATCGAATCCCATCAGGAGCATTTCAAAGCGATAAAGTTGTTGAAGCAAAGTCACTAACACAAAAAAATGACTCTTACCACAATTTTTTTCATCTGACCGATCAGGACAGTCGGGTCGACCGTCGCATCGCCAACTGTTCGGAAGACATTGCTTGGTGGGCGCACACGATAATGTGCCATTGGTGCAATTGTTCACGCGGTCTATAAATCGCGAGCAATACATTGAATTGAAATAGTTCAGATCGGTTAAGGAAATTCGGAGACTTCAATCATCCTTCGAAACTTAGCTCAGTGTCTATTGTCCGATTCCTTCTCACCTTTACACACCGCCCAACTTTCATCACTACGATCTTCACAGTCTGCTCGACCATCACAGAGGAGACGATTCGGAACGCACGCCATCGAGTCGCAACGAAACTCACCACTTGAGCACGAGAAATTCATTACTGAAAGAAAATTTCATTGCTGTCCTCTTCTGTTACAGCTTTTTTCATTTCATCCAAAGAATTCACAAAACAGAGCAATTATCCACTAAAAATTTCTCCTCAGGTAAAATTTGCAACATATTTCCAATAATCAAGAGATTTGCTTTAATGAGAAGCCTAATATACCTGCCTTCCCAGTAGTGTACCGCGTCATCGTGGCTGGGACGTGTTCCTGGTGTTGGACTGCGATATACAACGGAGATTCACCCACTGCCAAGGTCTCCCAAGCTGAGGACTCCGGCGTATCCATCAGGAAGCCAATCAAAGTCACATGGTGGCAAATCTCCCTCTGATCCACAAGGGCTGCGACTACCTGTGGTGGCGAAAACCTGGGGTAGACTTTGGCCAGGCTAACCTCAGGATTCCAGGGAACTACAATGCCTTAACCAACAAGTCTCCGAAAAATGAAGATTATGCTAGGGCCCGCGCAACCAGTGAGGACGGGCCATTCAACTATCAAGTAAGTAATATAACTGTGTAAATGAAAGGAAATTCTTGAAATAAGAAAGAACTTCGCTAATAATATAACATCACTAAATTTCTGTCCTTTCCTCCACACTCTTTCCTTTCATCATAGGCAAACTCAGTCATCCAATCGTTTCCCTTTTTTTTGATTAAGTTTTTATCGTCTTCATCCAAAACTTCATGGTTTTCGAATGCCGAGAGACTATCTCAGTATCTATTCATTTCGATTCTCTCACGTCACTACATGCTGAAAAGCTCACCCACCACAAACGTCTCTGACGTCTTCGTCACTGCCATCGAGACAATCCCGCTTGTTATCACAGACTTTCTCCTTCGGGATACAAATCTCCGTATGCTTACACATAAACTCCGATGGTTCACATTTCCCGATATTTGCTGCAGGGTTAGCTGAAACTCGCATGAATCATGCACGTTTTGAACTGTTTCCCACAAAAACCATACTGACATTGAGCACTACAGTAAAGGATAAAGAATAAAACATTTCATATCCGTCAATCCTTTAGGAGTGACCTATGCATTCGACTCCCTTCGTAGTACCGGAACAAAGAGGCGATTGAGGGCATATCTGGCCTATATATCAACTTTAGGAAGTCCATCGATGTATAAAGTTTAATGATTCTACCCTTACAGACAATTGAGGTCTCAATTTTCCAACACCACGCGGATGAGAAGACTCGATTTTCTGGATGTGGGATCGAACCCAACGACCACACCCTACCGCAGGACAACACTGACTAATACAAAATGTGCGCCTTCACTGCTGTGAACCACTCACTTACTTATGAATCGTCAAATTCGAAATCTGAGAAAAGTTCCATTTTGGTTGAAGCATCTGAAGACGAGGAACAGTTATTTTCAACTATCTATGTTTAC